GGGGAAGACGCTGGCGGAACAGCCTGCCTCCCGCGGATAAGCGGCGCGGAGCAGGGGCTGACGGTTTGTTGTGTCTGCCGCCAGCCCAAGGTTTTTCCCAGGCCCTGGAGCGTTGCGCCCGCCGTGACGCAGAGCCGGGACCCTGCTGCAGCGGCACCGCAGTGGGCGCAGAGCCCCGGCACGGCCACGGCCGGGGGAGGGATGCTCATGGGGCCCCGGCACGTGTGCATATGCATGCGGCTCTTGGCGTGTACACGGTCTGGCAGGGGAGGCAGGAAAGGGAGAAGCCCAGCAGCGAGCGAGGGGTTAAGGAGCGGCGCCAAGCTGGGGCTCTGTTTAGTCTGGCCCCCGCGCCAGCGATGGGACAGGCAGCGCGGAGCACGTGTCCATCACCCCGGCCCAGAGCGAGCGCTTGCACGCACGCAGGCACCCTTGCACGCTGCGTACATGCAGGCGTGCTCCCTGCCAGGCCGTTGGTGTGACACGGCTGGTGTCCCCACACCCGTGCATGCTGCCGAGAGTGACGCCATGGCCCAGCTCTGGCTCTGCTGCCGTTGGAGCCCGGGACCACAGGGGAGCTGGGGACACCCCGAGTGTCCCGGCATCGCTGTAACCCCTGTGCCTCTTCCCACCCCGGACAGGGACCGTGGAACCTAGGCGTCCGGGCTGGCCCCCCCCATTCAAGGTGACATACGGCTTTGTCCCACGTCCTCCTTGCCTGCCACATGCCGTTTCCAGGGGCTGCCACGTCCCCGGTGCCACACAGGGGCCGCGTGTCCCTCTTGCCAGCACCGACTGCCCTGTGTCTGCCCCGTGGGCACCGGCACCCCGCACGGTGCTTCACTCCTGGCTCGGTGGCCCTGTGCCACGGCAGCCATGCAGGCGAGGGCAGGGCAGACAGCAGGTCCCCTGCCGCAGGATGACAGGCAGGGCCGTGCCGTGCCGTGCCTTGCAGGGGAGCAGCGCCATGTCCCTCGGCGCGCCCACGAGCAGCGACGCCTGCCTGAGCATCGTGCACAGCCTGATGTGCCACCGGCAGGGCGGGGAGAACGAGACCTTCGCCAAGCGGGCCATCGAGAGCCTCGTCAAGAAGCTCAAGGAGAAGAAGGACGAGCTCGACTCGCTCATCGCTGCCATCACCACCAACGGCGCCCACCCCAGCAAGTGTGTCACCATCCAGCGCACCTTGGACGGGCGGCTCCAGGTAACCCTGCCGCGCCGGGACCCGGGTGTCTGGGTGCCTCAGCAGACCTGCGGCAGCCTGACAGCCCCCCGTGCACCCCACGGCCCTCCCCGAGCTGGGAAGACCTGGGTGTTGGGATGCCCCATGACCCCTGAGACCCCACAACCCTCCCTGAGCCGGGGTGCCTGGGTGTTGGGGGCACCTTGGACGGGCGGCTCCAGGTAACCCTGCCGCGCCGGGACCCGGGTGTCTGGGTGCCTCAGCAGACCTGCGGCAGCCTGACAGCCCCCCGTGCACCCCACGGCCCTCCCCGAGCTGGGAAGACCTGGGTGTTGGGATGCCCCATGACCCCTGAGACCCCACAACCCTCCCTGAGCCGGGGTGCCTGGGTGTTGGGGCGCCCCACGAACCCCCACATATACAACACCA